AACCCCCCCCCCCCCCGCCCCCCCCGGGAAGCTCAGACCAACCACCTTTCAGGGGATTGTCTTTTGCTCTCGCAGATGGGGGTAATTCTGAGCAACCTCTACATCTAGACGTCCCCTGTGGGTATCATTTATCCAGAATGTCCCCTGTGGAGCTCACTTTGAGGCTCCTTCAGTGAGGGCGTCTGAGGATCAATTCACAAGCCTCACTGGGGAACTGCTCAGCCTGGAGAGAAACTCGGGTGAGGGGGCCTAGAATCTGTGGAATGCTGATGGCTTGCTGAGCTGAAAACCTGGGTCTTGACTCAGGAAGGAGAATGGGGCTGGTCATCTTATTTAAGGCTCCCCCTGTCCCCTGACACACACACCTCTTGCCTTTAAAATCATTTTATAAAGAATGGCACAAGTTGAGGTTATGTTTACTCAGGTAAACCCCTTCCCTGAGAGGAAAAAAGTGCCCGCCCTTCATTGCTGTTTATCCCTCAAAGAAGGGTTCACAACTGTTTATAGAGCCAAGAAAAGTTCTATGGCAAGACCACAGCTGAGGGAGACAGGCCTTTGGCCTGTTCCCTGATCCCTTCCATGCTGGAGTCAGTGGTGCCCAGGCACAGAGCACATTGAATCTGCTTCCATTCTCCACAACAAGAACAGGGCTGAAGGGTAGGCCAGGAAAGTCCTCCCAGGATCGGTCTTTGACCTTCTGACTGGCCAATGTCCACCATTTCTGCTTCTCTCAGGGGTCTTGTGGTAGAAGGCAGTTGGAGCCCGGATGGCATTTGGACCACCTCAGGTCTAAGATCAGTAGACTGGAGCACCATGGAAAAGTTCTGGGGTCCCTCAGTATTGAAACTCCTCCCTGAGGCCATGAGGCTCCTCTGAGCTGGGACCTCAAGGATGAGAGAGATTGTGTCAGATTAAACATGTCTATAGAACTGCATGATTGCAGGTCGAGTCTGTGTGTGTTTCATCTGAATATGGATGTGTGTCTGTGATCAGATCTGTGCTAGCCCCTAAAGACTGTTTTTAAAGTTCACATAAGAAGTTTGAGTTCTAACTCTATTTCAGTCTGGGATGCTCTTGGCCTTCATCGTACCCTATCCCCATACCCAAATCCCATAAAACAATTATCCCAGCCCCTCACCCTCATCCCATTCAATTTTTATTAGACCCCAGGAAAAGGGCAGGATGCTCAATCACTTCCTTGCTGAGCTGGGAGGAAGGGGGAAGACAGAAAATCTAAAGATCCAGATTCGTGTTATATACAAGTCCTTCTGGGCTCCAGCCACCAGTCTGAGCTTGAGCCAACCCCCCTCCCCCAAGCCGGAGGGAAATGCAATGAGGTATTTCAAAGGTCTATTCTTAGCTTCTGAGCCGGGAGCTGAGCTCTGTTCATCCAGGGTGCCTTGGGTGCCCCTGTTTTCTTGAGGACACCTCGGTCCCCCTAAAGGTCCTTATATCCCGGCCACCCACCCACACCTTCCAGAAGCTGGGCGTGAAGGAGTATGGGAAATGAGAGAGAACAAAGTTGAGGCTGGAGATGGTGTTCCTCCATCCCACGCTCGGGCTATTGTCCCCCTGCCAGGCAAGCCTGTGGGTAGAAACCAGTCTCAGCGTGTGCTCACCCACAGAGAGTGGACGGGGACCACCCTCCACAGTTCATGGGAAAGGGAAAGGCTGAGGTGGAAGGGGGTCCAGGGAGGTAAGTCAGCAGGCTGTAAGGGCAGGAGTCCCTCCTTCAGGTCACTTGGACAGCCCTGCAGGTGACTCAGTTTCAGTGCTGAAGAGCTCCTTGTAGAGTGGGGGGAATGCGGCTTGGACCACGATGGGGTGGAGGTGCTGGAAGATTTGCAGCTTTTCCACATGCTGGCTACACAGGCTCCGAAGCTTTCCCTTGGGTGGCAGCTGGAGGGGTTAACGGGGAAGGATTAGTACTTTAGTTCTTTCCTCAGAGCAAGGAGGTAGGTCTTTTTGCCCTTCCTGGGCCAGTATAACCCTTCTTGCCTTTTCCATGCGCGCTTGGCAGTTTGGGATCACCCAAGCCCAACTGGTAGAATCATGTATGTGTCAGGACACTAGAGGTAAGTGAGAGTTGAGGCAGGACAGGTGGATGTTTTTTGGGGGAAGCCCCCAAGTCACATTCCTGCTTTTTTTTTTTTTTTTTTTTTTTTTGAGTCAGAGTCTTACTCTGTCACCCAGGCCAGAGTGCAGTGGCACGCTTACGGCCACCACAGCCTTGACCTGCTGGGCTCAGGTGATCTTTCCGCCTCAGCCTTCCAAGTAACTGGAACCACAGGCATGCACCACCATGCCTGATTTTTTGATTTATTGTAGAGAAGAGGTCTCATTGTGTTGCTCAGGCTGGTCTTGAACCCCTAAACTCTGGTAATCCTCTTACCTCCGCCTCCCAAAGTGCTGGGATTACAGGCGTGAGCCACTGCACTAGGCTCATCCCTGCTCTTTCTAAAGTGAACCTTGTTAAAGACTCTAACTCATGCTTTTATAAAAAGCTTCATGCTTTTATAATCCTGAGCTTCCCTGACTCCCTGTACTGTGTGAGCGCGTGCCTCTGCCTTTGTTCATTGTGTTCCTCTCATCTGAAATGCCTTCTAACTTTTCTCTGCTTGACTAACTTATTTTTCTTTTTTTTTTTTTGAGTTGGAGTCACACTCTGTTACCCGGGCTGGAGTGCAGTGGCATGCTCATGGCCACCGCAGCCTCCACCTGCTGGGCTCAGGTGATTCTTCCACCTCAGCCTTCCAAATAGCTGTAACTACAGGCATGCACCACCATGCCCAGCTAATTTTTTCTTTCTTTCTTTTTTTTTTTTTGAGTTGGGGTCTCACTCTGTCACCCAGACTGGAGTGCAGTGGCCACTCCCGGCCACCGCAGCCTCACCTGCTGGGCTCCAGCGGTCCTTCCGCCTCAGCCTTCTGAGTAGCCGGAATTACAGGCATGCGCTACCATGCCCGGCTGATTTTTTGATTTATTGTAGAGATGAGGTCTCGCTGCCCAAGCGGGTCTCGAACCCGCGGGCTCAGGCAATCCACTCACCTCAGCCTCCCAAAGCGCGGGATTACAGGCTGAGCCACTGAGCCTGGCTTGTCTTTTTTTTATTGTAGAGATGAGGTCTCATCAAGTTGCCCAGGCTGGTCTCAAACTCATGGACTCAGGCAGTCTTCTCACCTTGACCTCCCAAAGTGCTGGGATTATAGGTGTGAGCCACAGCGCCTGGCCTGCTTGGCGAATTTCTACTCACCTTCTAATGTCAGCTCTTCTGGAAATATTTCCCTAACTACTCTCTGTCTGGACCAAGGGCCCTTCCTTTGGGCCTCCCTCTGTGTGGCACTTAGCACACGGCAGGAAAATGATTCAATCTGTATGTCATCCCATCCTAGATTTCAGCTCCTTAGGTAGGGTTTCTCTCTCTCTCATCCTCTCTTTGTATGTGTCTGTCTCTCATCTTCCCCCCTACTCCCATCCTCTGTACCTATCATAATGCTTGACACGTGGCAAATTCTCAACAATAGTTTGTTTAAACTAAACAGACTTTCTAAGCAGGTAACCAACACTCAGCACTCAGCCAAGGGGAAATGAAACAAGCTCCAAAACTTGTGAGGGGACTTCACTGAAGAAAGACTGAAAGAACAATTTATCTCCCGAGTCTCCTATATAATGGAGAGGCTTAAAAATACCTCTTACCAGTCATCACCTCCCTCCCCTTAGCTTAGTTTCCCTGGAAGGGGACAGCCAGGGAAGAGCAGGCAGCAAGGTGATGCCTCCAAATCTCCTGGATTCACGCTCTATGTCTCTACTGCTTTATTCTGAGCTTGTTTGGGCTGTTGCAATAGCCTCCTTCTTTCATTCAACAAATATCTGTTGAGAGCCCATGTGAATCTGGGCTAGTCACTGTAATGGGCTCGGATGATACATCAGTGAATTAAATATAATCTCTACCTTTATTAAATTTACATTCTGGTAAGGGAGCCAGAAAATTAATATATAATATGTTGAATAAGAAGTTCTTTAAAGAAAACTAAAGCAAGGGGAGGGGGAGAAGGCTTCGTATGGGGGTAACTGGTTAGGGACAACTCCTGAATGAAGAGATGGAGTAAACCATTTGGAAGACTGGGGGAGGAAACTCCCACGTGACTGCAACAGCGAACACAAGGGCCCTGAGAGGCAACTGGGCTTGATGTGTTCAAAGAATAGCAAGGAAGCTAGTGTGGTGAATGAGTGATTCAGGGGGCAGTGGAAGACCAGGTGAAAAAAGAAGGCAGGGCGTGTTAGGAGGCTGGCTGGCTATGACATAGACTCTGAATTTTATCCTCTGCATGACAGGCAGCAACAGGAGGGTTGACAACAGAGCGGGATATAGGGTGACTGCTTTTTTGAAAGGGTCATCATGGGAGCTGAGTCTGCACTGTGTGACTGCTACAGGGCAGATAAGGGAGGAGCTGGGATCTGGTTAGGAGGCCCAAAGGCCCACGTGAGAGTTGAGGGTGACAGTGGGGAGATGATATACTTTCAAAGTGGATCCAACCAGATTTGCTTTCCAACGTCTCTCCCAGGTCCTAGTCTCTCCTCCCTCAAATCCTGTAGCAGATTGAAGTTCAAGTTCTTCAGAGCAGAGACCATTTAAGTCATTTCTGTATCCTTAACACCTAGCCCTGTGCCTGGGGCGTAACAAAGGCTCCCTTGAATGATTACATAAATGGTTCCTTTACACTGCTTCCAAAGTAAATTGCCTAAATAACAGCTCTGATTATATCATTTTTCTAGCCTCTGGGGCTCCCCATTGCCTAGAAATAAAACCTTAACTCTTACACGGCATTGAAAGTCCTCCTTGGTTTGGCCTGACCTAATTTTCAGGCATATCTTCTGCTACTCATCTGCCCCGTCGATCTATCCCAGCTCCTGATCTTGCACTTGAGTCAAAATGTCCCACGAGCTCTTTTCCATATAAGCACTATTTCACCTCCCTATTTTTGCTCATGTTGCTCCGTAAGCCCAGATACCTGCCCCACCCCCAATAAATGCCTGTTTAAAAGAATTTTTTTTTTTTTAGTTCTAGTCTCACTCTGTTGCCCAGGCTGGAGTGCAGTGGCATGATCATGACTCACAGCAGCTTCAAACTCCTGGGCTCAAGCGTTCCTCCAGTCTCAGCCTCCTGAGCAGCTGGGACTACAGATGTGGACCACCACGCATGACTAATTTTTTGATTTTTTGGCTTTGTTTGTTTGTAGCGATGAGGTCTCACTATATTGCCCAGGTTGGTCTTGAACTCCTGGGCTCAAGCAATCCTCCTACCTGGGCCTCCCAAAGTGCTGGGATTACAGGCATGAGCCACCGCACCTGGTCTCTGTTAAAATCTCTCATCTTTTAAGGCCTAGTTTAAATGCCACCTTCTCTACGAAGCATTTATGATCCATTCTTTTTACCTCAAAATTATTTTTAATCCCTGTTCTACACTCTCAACACATTTCCCCAATGGCTCTTATTATAGTAATATATTGGGGACACAGGGATTAAATTTTGCATTGAAGCCACTGAAGTCTCCTTCTAGCTACAGGGAGATTTTGACAACTGTCCTGCTGACTGGGTTGCCATGAGGATGAGACAGCATGTCAGCAAATGCATTTTGTTAATCGCATTGTTATTACATCACATACCACATTCCACTCTGTATTAGAGTTGTTGGTACACAGATCTCTTCTTCAAAGCCAGTTAAATTCTTGGTGGGGGCAACAACTGAATCTCTGTATCTTTCCACAGTGCCTTGTGCAGGCAGGTGCTGGGTAAGTGTTGGCTATATTAAACCCAATTGGTCCCTGGAGGCCCCTCCCAATTCCAGGCTCTCTAACTTTCTAGTGTTTATGCGCATGAAAGTAGCTGTTCATTCCTTTAGTTCCTGCTGCTGTTGCAACACGGCAGTGTGGTGTCTCTAACACCACGTGGTACTCCAGCACTCTCTCTTCTGTACCCGTAGACCCTGGCCCGCACAAAACCTGATGTCACAGAGCTGGCACTGGGCCCAGCCTCTCCTGCCCAGGGACTGCACCTACCTCTGTCAGGATGCCTTGGCGATGAGTCTTGCAGAGATGGTGATGAAAGGCCAGCTCCAGATTGCACTGCAGCTGTTCTACTTTCCTTCTCTCTTGGAGCCCCGGCCGACCTGAAGGAGGGGGTGGGGCCATAGTGAGTTAAGGTCCATGGATGTTAACTCCCAAAAGAAAGGCGGATCTTTATGGACACCTGTGCTGCATAGAAGTCTTCTCAGCTGAATCAATCTCTCTCTCTCTCTCTCTCTCTCTCTCTCCCCCCCTACACATACACACACGTTTTTGGTTTTGATAATGGTAAACTCTGGAACCTTGGGCTTGGCTAGCTGTCTACAAGGAAAACTAGGAGAGATGAGTAGGATAAGAACTGCTAACTCCAAACTACCTTCTCCCAGGTAACCTGATATTCCACATAGTTTATTCAGTGTTGGGCACTAGGATTCTGCCATGGGAGGAAAAAGAGTTGGAAGAGAGCTGGCCCTATGCCTACCAAAAATTGCTCGCTAGAGGAGATGGTTGTTCTGAAGCTATGCAGGCCAGCACCAGGGGCTTTGCAGTGACTAACTTTAACACCTTTTGCCCTCGTTCTATAAAATGTCCAGAAGTCATCTTTAACGTTTTGGTTTTCAGTTTGAGGGGCATGTTTAGGTAGCTACTCATTGGCAAAACCAGAAGACCAATTCATGTGGATCTGCAAACTCAGGTTAGCAGCTTGACCTGCTTCCTGGGTTTTCCAGACACTTAGCATTCTGCTAACTCAGCCCAAACCATGCCACACCAGTGGGATGGGTATAGAGTCGTGCCATTATAGGCATAATTAGTTCACTCGGAGCAGTGACTCTCAATCTTGGTGGCCTGAAGGGGGTGACTGTTAAAATTTGGGTGCACCCTTGATCAATTGCAGACGGTTCCCCGACTTAACGATGGTTCAATGTACTATTTTCAACTGTATGAAGGTGATATGCATTCAGTAGGAACCATTCTTTGAATAACCATACAATCATTCCGTTTTTCACGTTTAGTACATTATTTAATAAATTATATGAGGCATTCAACACTTTATTATACAATAGACTTTGTGTTGGATGACTTGCCTGACTGTAGGCTAATGAAAGTGTTCTGGGTATGTGGGTTTTTAAAAATTTTTTATTCTGGGCATTTTTAAGGGAGGCTAGGCTAAACTCTGATGATCAGTAGGTTAGGTGTATTTGATGCATTTCAACCTAATGATATTTTCTTTCTCTCTTTTTCTTTTTTTTTTGTGAGTCAGAGTCTCACTCTGTTGCCCAGACTGGAGTGCAGTGGCATGCTCACGGCCACCACACCCTCGACCTGCTGGGCTCAGGAGACCCTTCCCCCTCAGCCTTCCAAGTAGCTGGAACTACAGGCACATGCCACCACACCCGGCTAATTTTTTGATTTATTGTAAAGACGAGGTCTCACTAAGTTGTCCAGGCTGGTCTCAAACCACTGGGCTCTCAGGCAATCCTCTCACCTCTGCCTCCCAAAGTGCTGGGATTATAGGTGTGAACCACCATGCCTGGTGCTTGACTTAATGATATTTTCAACCTATGACTGGTCTATCGGTATGTAGCCCCATCATGAGTCAGGGAGCATCTGTACACTGGAATCTCTGGAAGTGGAATGCAGGCAGCAATTGTCTGTGAAGCTCCCCGGGTGGTTCCAATATGTACTACAATGAAATCACTGCCATAGTCTAATAGACATATTTCCATATCTCCCCACTTCTAGAACCCCGCCCTATACTGCTCTTGTTTCTCTGTGAGGCTCCTCTGAATCTTTATTTTAACTTGTATTTTTTTTTTTGAGTTGGTGTCTCACTCTGTCACTCAGACTGGAGTGCAGTGGCCGCTCCCAGCCACTGCAGCCTTGACCTGCTGGACTCCGGCGATCCTTCTGCCTCAGCCTTCCAAGTAGCCAGAATTACAGGTGCGTGCTACCACGCTCGGCTAATTTTTGATTTATTGTAGAGATGAGATCTCGTCAAGTTGCCCAGGTGAGTCTCGAACCCGCAGGCTCAGGCAATCTACTCACCTCGGCCTCCCAAAGCACTGGGATTACAGGCTGAGCTACAGAGCCCGGCTTAACTCGTATTTTATAGCCATATTGGGTAGGACTCATTCTGCTACTTAAGACCACAGATTTAACCACATCTAGAGGTCTACACTCTTCAATATTTGCCATGCCCCTGTCACCTGAATGTCCTTTACCCAAGCCCAGCAACACTCACTGGCGTTGATGAGAACAAGGGCTGTGTAGAGGGCAATCTCGTCCTCGGAGAAGTGCAAGGCACTTAGGGAGTGGGAGAAGTCAAAGATGGAGCTGATGAGCTCGCTGCAGCCTGACGGAGTGGAAATGAGAAGAATGAGTAAGGAGGAGAGGCTCTGGTGCCCAAGGACACCACCCTCTTGGTGTTTGGAGCACGGGGGGAAATCTGCCCTGAAAAGAGGGTGCCCTGGATCACGGAGGCTTTGTGTGGGGTTGGCATAAAAATCCTCCCTCTCATTTCTCCCTGCCCCTCACCCAAGGCTCGGAACAGCTCCATGCCACCATATTTGCCTTCAAAAAAGACTGTGTGGTTGTCAGCATTGTAGGCCCGGCACATCCTGACCAGCACCACTTCCATTGCTCCTGGGGAGTGGTGAGAAAAGACGCAAGGACAATGTCAAGCAAAGGAATCCATCTCAACCCCCTCAGTGTCCTGGCTTCCCTCCTCCAGGCCGCCTCCCTCTTCTTGGCCCTGCCCCATTCCAGGCTCTGTCTCCCCTCCTCCAGGCCAGTCCACCCATCCCCGGGCACCTGCTTTGAGTAGCACGATCTGGTCATTCTGGCAGAGTTCCATAAAGCCTGAGAGCCTCTTGGCAAACTCTACCACGTACTGAATGGCCTCGGTGAGGTGGTGGGCACACCGTTCCCACATCTCCCACATGGACTGCGGGGAGGGAGAAAGATCCTGCTGCAGCGCTCCATGTGACCCTCCCCAGGCCCTGGAGCCCCACCTAATAAATTGCAGGGTGTAGGTTCTGAACTCCCACATTCTCAATCATCATTTTTAAAAAGCCCATTCTTAGCACAAATGCACTCGGGGTCAATTCCTGTCAGTGGGTCCCACTTACTCAGCACCAAACTGGCTGCCGGCCCTGAATTAACTGTTAGGGGAGAATAAAAAACGTATAAGATACAGCTTTGGCCGGGCTCGGTGGCTCAGCCTGTAATCCCATGCCTTGGGAGGCTGAGGTGAGTGGATTGCCTGAGCCCGTGGGTTTGAGACCCGCCTGGGCAACTTGGCAAGACCTCATCTCTACAATAAATACAACAGTGAGCCGGGCATGGCAGCGTGCGCCTGTAGTTCCAGCTACTTGGAAGGCTGAGATGGAAGGATCGCCAGAGCCCAGCAGGTTGAAGCTACGGTGGCTGGGAGCGGCCACTGCACTCCAGTCTGGGTGACAGAGTGAGACTCCAACTCAAAAAAAAAAAAAAAGATGCAGCTTTGCCCTCGAGCAATTTACATCTTGTTGAGGTGAGAAGGTCTAACAGCCATCCCTCCCCCCACAAAGGACATGCCCAAGGTCTTAGAGAAGCAAATGTGAAGTGCCAAATGAGTGTTTTTAGAGCAGGTGGTATTGTCAGAATGTGATGGAAGAGACAGCATATACTCTGGGGTCTAATGAGTCTGAATTTGACTTTGGTTCCTCCACTTCATGACATTGAGAAAGTCATAAGCTCATTTTCATGTACTGTTAAAAATAGGAATAGGGCCAGTTGTGTTGGCTCATGCCTGTAATCCCAGCATTTGGGGAAGCTGAGGCAGGAGGATTGATCGAGCCCAGGAGTTCGAGACTAGCCTGGGCAACAGAGCGAGACCTCGTCTCTACAGAAAAAAATCAAAAAATTAGCTGGGCGTGGTGGCACACACCTGTCATCCCAGCTACTTGAGAGGCTGAGGCAGGGGCATTGCCTCAGCCTAAGCCCCAACCTGAGCCCAGAAGGCTAAAGCTGCCGTGAGCCGGGATCGTGCCACTGCACTCCAGCATGGGTGTCCAGCCTGAGTGACCGAGTAAGACGCTGACTCAAAAGAAAAGAAATAGATGCCATTCTCACAGGTGGGTTGTGGTAAGGGTTGAGGATAATTTAAGGAAAGCATTTAACACAATACCTGGCAGAGAAGGGGTATTTAACAAATGGTAACAATCAGGGCTCTGACTTTTGATATTATTGATGGAGGAGAAGGAAGGAAAGTACACCAAGGTCTAGGTGGTAGGGTGGTAGAGGACTTAAGATGAAGGCTGAGTAAACTTTTTTTTTTTAATTGGAGTCTTACTCTGTCGCCCAGACTGGAGAGCAGTGGTATGCTCACGGCCACCCCAGCATTGACCTGCTGGGCTCTGGTGATCCTTCCGCCTCAGCCTTCCAAATAGCCGGAACTATAAGTGCATGCTGCCATGCCCAGCTTATTTTTTAAATTTATCATAGAGATGAGGTCTCGCCAAGTTGCTCGGGCTGGTCTCGAAACCGCAGGCTCAGGCAATCCACTCGCCTCAGCCTCAAAAAGTGTTGGGATTACAGGTTGAGACACTGCGCCTGGCCTGAGTAAATTTTAATAGGCAGGGGCTGGCTGGGCGCGGTGGCTCAAGTCTAATTCCAGCACTTGGGAGGCCGAGGTGAGGGGATTGCCTGAGCCCACAGGTTTGAGAATAGCCTGGCCAACTTGGTGAACTTCATCTCTACAATAAATTAAAAAATTAAGCTGGGCTCGGTGGCTCAGCCTGTAATCCTGCGCTTTGGGAGGCTGAGGT